TCCTCAGTAAGAACTGGTCTCAGGTCAGTCTCCACAGTAAGAACTGGCCTCAGGTCAGTCTCCTCAGTAAGAACTGACCTCAGGTCAGTCTCCACAGTAAGAACTGGTCTCAGGTCAAGAACTGGTCTCAGGTCAGTCTCCTCAGTAAGAACTGGTCTCAGGTTAGTCTCCACAGTAAGAACTGGTCTCAGGTCAAGAACTGGTCTCAGGTCAGTCTCCACAGTAAGAACTGGTCTCAGGTCAGTCTCCACTGTAAGAACTGGTCTCAGGTCAGTCTCCTCAGTAAGAACTGGCCTCAGGTCAGTCTCCACAGTAAGAACTGGCCTCAGGTCAGTCTCCACAGTAAGAACTGGCCTCAGGTCAGTCTCCTCAGTAAGAACTGGCCTCAGGTCAGTCTCCACAGTAAGAACTGGTCTCAGGTCAGTCTCCGAAGTAAGAACTGGTCTCAGGTCAAGAACTGGTCTCAGGTCAGTCTCCTCAGTAAGAACTGGTCTCAGGTCAAGAACTGGTCTCAGGTCAGTCTCCACAGTAAGAACTGGTTTCAGGTCAGTCTCCACAGTAAGAACTGGTCTCAGGTCAGTCTCCTCAGGTCAGCAGTAGTTCTGACTGAAGTATATATTTCAATGTGTTTCAGACATCAGGCCCAACACGGTGTCGGCTACAGTTCCGTGTCTCCCGGCTTATATTCTCTTCATGTGCATCCGTCACGCCGACTACATCAACGATGACCAGAAGGTGGAGTCTCTGCTCACCTCCACCATCAACGCCATCAAGAAGGTCCTCAAGGTGAGCGTCCTGCACACATCCACTGTCTGACTAAAGATCAATGTTCTTCTTCTTTTAAATGAGATATATACGTTCAACCATCTGTAGAAAAACAACGAAGACTTTGAGATGACGTCCTTCTGGCTGGCCAACACCAGCCGGCTGCTTCACTGTCTGAAGCAGTACAGCGGTGATGAGGTGACACACACTCACAACACAGACCATGATACTGTCTACTAGATGTCAGTGTTGTATTCAGCAGCACGTGAGCAGAGTAAGAAGTGTTGTTGTTGTTGTTGTTGTTGTTCAGGTGTTTATGACCCAGAACACGAGCAAACAGAATGAACACTGTCTGAAGAACTTCGACCTGGCCGAGTACCGACAGGTGCTGAGCGACCTCTCCATCCAGATCTACCAGCAGCTCATCAAAGTGGCAGAAGGCATCATCCAGCCGATGATCGGTGAGTTCCTACTGGACACCAGTTTGTGTTAAAGCTCACCGTCGTCATGAAGGATATATACATCATATAGTGTGTAGTTGTATTGTGATGTACACACACCTGCTGCCTTTAGAGCAGAAATACTTTATAACTGACCTCTCAGACTGAAAGGCCACACTGCTGAATGAAGACAGGGACAAAGCTCCGTACTGATCTCTCTCTGCTTGCTTGCGTTCAGTGTCGGCCATGTTGGAGAGTGAGAGCATCCCCAGCCTGGCGGGAGTCAAACCGATGGGGGGCTACAGGAACCGTTCGTCCAGCATGGACACGGACGCTAGCAGCTACACCCTGCAGGCCCTGATCAGGCAGCTGGGACAGTTTCACGACACCATGCAGGACCACGGTCTGGACCCCGAGATCGTGGGTCAGGTGGTGCGACAGCTCTTCCACTGCATCAACGCCATCACCCTCAACAACCTGATGCTGCGCAAAGACGTGTGCTCCTGGAGCACCGGCATGCAGCTCAGGTAAGAGCTTCTGACTTCCTGTGGTCTTTAGTTAAACCCGGCTTCTGGCTTTGTGTGTTTGTTTGTGCCTTCACCTACGCCCGATCGCTGTCGCCTAGGTCCTGTCACCATGACCTAGCTCCTAGGTTCCACCACCGTCGCCTAGGTTCTATGTCGCCTAGGTCGTCTAGGTTCTATGTCGCCTAGGTCCTAGGTCGTCTAGGTTCTATGTCGCCTAGGTTCTATGTCGCCTAGGTGCTGTCGCCTAGGTCCAGTCACCATCGCCTAGGTCGCCTACATCCCACCGCCGTCTTCTAGGTCCCGTCGTGCTTCTGGCTCTGACTCGCGGGCTGTTTGTGTGTTCAGGTACAACACCAGTCAGATGGAGGAGTGGCTGAGAGGGAACAACTTGTTCCAGAGTAAAGCTGCAGCCACTCTGGAACCGCTCATCCAGGCCGCTCAGCTGCTGCAGGTGAAGAAGAAGACGACTCAGGACGCCGAGGCCATCTGCTCGCTCTGCACCGCCCTCAGCACGCAGCAGGTCAGCTGACCCCCCCAGACGCATCAGCTGATCAGAAACATCAGGTGGTATTGATCACTGTTGTCATGTGTGTTGCAGATTGTAAAGATCCTGAACCTCTACACTCCTCTGAACGAGTTTGAAGAGAGAGTCAGTGTGTCCTTCATCAGAAACATCCAGGTGAGACTCAACGGCCTTCATTGTTCCAAAGTGACTATATATATAATTATATCTATATATATATATAATCCTTCATCACCTAGGTCCTTGATCACCTAGGTCAAAGGTCTTGTCTCCGTCTCGCAGTGCTTGACATTGACGTTTGTCGTCGGGCTCTCTCTCCTCTCAGAGGTTCTTTCCAGCTGATGCTTCATAAAGTCGTCAGTTAAACCTCATCGTGTTCTACTGCGGCTCATTTTCTGTTGTTGTTTTTCCTGTTTCTGGTTCTGACGTTATGCGGCCAGAACTTCCTGTAATCGGTCCTAAAGTCCGAACAGGAAGGTTCCACACCTGTAATATTGTCCAAACAAGGTGTGAACAGGCCTTTAGTGACATCAGCTGGTTCCACCTGTCTAACCTCCATGTGTACCTGTGTGTCCAGAACCGTCCTCAGCAGACGAGCGATCCTCCTCAGCTTCTGATGGACACCAAGCACATGTTCCCCGTCCTGTTCCCGTACACGCCGTCTGCTCTGCGCCTGGAGACGATGCACATCCCGGCCTCCCTCGGCCTTGGCTTCCTCATCAGGGTCTGAAGGAGCTGCTTTTAATCCAGGACCGACCACTTCTAGTAAACTGACCACGCATCAGCTTTACACCAGCAGACAGACGCTTATCTACCACAATCTGTCCGCTGGTGTCTTCCACACTCGACCAACATGTTCGGACACAGTTACTAAGTTCACCCTTCTTGTGCCTCAAATATCTGAAAACCATCAGATCCATTCTTCTTCTTCTTCTTCTTCTTCTTCTGTTACAAACTGTTCGTCCTCCGATGGTAAAATGTGACGCGACAGGAAGTGATAGAAGGAGCAGGAAGGTGTCCTGCAGGATGAAGGTCAGTGAAAGCTCAGGGAGAATGCAGAGAAAAGAGTCTCGCTAGTTTTTACTATTCTACAGTCTGTTCATCAATAACATCTCTTGAGCAGCTTCCTGTTCATATGAATAAGTTCATTTACAGCTTCTATGATAATCGGGTCACATCGGTGTTTTACTTAATAAGTGTTGCGTTTATGTGTCGACGCAGAACTGGGACGTCCGGCACTTCAGCACAGTCATGTTTGATATCCTGATGTACTCAGACTGTAATATATATAACAAGTAATACTTACATGCAGAATTCTGACATCGATTCATTTCTCGTGGATAGAAACATTTTTTATTCCGTAGTCGTCTCACAGATTAATCGGCTCATTTCTCTCCACGTTTCAGTGAAAATGAATAAAACGAAGCGTTTTAAGTGAAGCAGGAACATGACTCATCATCAGTCGGGGTTATTAAACATCACTGTGCAGCTAATCACTCACAAGTAATCAATGCTTTTCTGTTGTTTTCACTTTGATTCTCATTTCTTTTCTTTTTATATTGTTCTGTGTAAGACGTTTTCTATCCCTTCGGCTCATTTTGAGCTTCTTTTTTTATATGATTTGGTAAAATGATGTGGTGACACTAATTAATAACTGAAATACTAAATACTCCGATCCAACACTGTGACAGGTTCACTCTGGTTTATGGGGCGATGGAAGCTTCAAGTCTGAGTAATCATTTGACCTGGTAGAGAATTTATAATTATTAACACGCTAATTATTAACACGCTATCTTTAGAGTACAAACTGAATCCAATTCTAAGAAAAAAGCATCTTTTACTGAAGTGAAACTGTCGTAAAGATGACGTTTTTATCTTTTGTGTGAAAATGTGGATGTTGAATACATTCATGATAGAAATAAATAATATGTATTTTCATGAGATCACTTCAGGAGCTCCACATAACTTGTATAATAGTTACATTTTGCAGTGAAGTTCTTCAGTTTGAAACTTTGATGTAAATGTTTTCTTTCACTGAATGAAGCACAAAGTAACTTCCTGTATTTCAAAGAACACGTTTTGGTAACAAAGTAACTCACGAATACGAATGTTTTGTTTTGGTGATTCATGATCTGATGTTCTGAATCATCAGATGATCAATAAATACTTTGTTTTTTCCAGCAAAAGCTAAATTCTACAGTTTCCTTTCGAATAGTTTTCATAGACAAATAAAACATTGAAATTATTTTTCGTCCAATATTGACGGTTTAACACTTTCATTGTTAATGTCTCGTTCTTTTAAGCACCAACAATTTCAAAAAAACTATGACACATTCAGTCCCGTGTAAAACTTAGATGAATAATAACCAAAGTCGAATCACACTTCTGTATTTCCTGTTTACTTCAATCTGGATTCAGAGTTCAGCCTCCAGTTGAGCCAGCCCTAACTATAAACCTCAACCAGCCCTAACTATAAACCTGAGCCAGCCCTAACTATAAACCTGAACCAGCTCTAACTATAAACCTCAACCAGTCCTAACTATAAACCTGAACCAGCCCTAACTATAAACCTCAACCAGCCCTAACTATAAACCTGAACCAGCCCTAACTATAAACCTGAGTCAGCCCTAACTATAAACCTGAGTCAGCCCTAACTATAAACCTGAGCCAGCCCTAACTATAAACCTGAGCCAGCCCTAACTATAAACCTGAACCAGCTCTCACTATAAACCTCAACCAGCCCTAACTATGAACCTGAGCCAGCCCTAACTATAAACCTGAGCCAGCTCTAACTATGAACCTGAGCCAGCCCTAACTATAAACCTCAACCAGCCCTAACTATAGACCTGAGCCAGCCCTAACTATAAACCTGAGCCAGCCCTAACTATAAACCTGAGCCAGCCCTAACTATAAACCTGAGCCAGCCCTAA